GGATAGTAAGTCCAGTGTCGAGCTGGACTCGGGGTCTTCTGGAGATGACTCTCTGTCGGAGAAGGGAGCAGCGGCTCCTAAAAGTCCTTATAAACTGCGAAGAAGACAGGATAAGAAGAAATGAAGGCTGAAGGACTCTGTATTGTACCTTTGAAAAGAGATGATTGTAATGAGATGCTTTGGGTTTTTTCTTTTTAACAGTTAATTTAAGATTCAAAAGTTGTAATAGCAGACCTGACTAAGTTCAAAAAATTGTTAGCGAGTTTAGAACTGACTTTGTACTTAAGAGATTTTGAGGATCTCCTCTCTTGGGATTTTAGATAGTAGTGGGTTTTCTTTTCTTTATCCCTAATTGTAGTTCCCGTCCCTCATTTTCGTTGTAGATTTGTAGACTTTAGAAAATGTAATTTAAAAAAATCCCCTCCGGGGGGCCAAAAAAAACCCAACCCCGAAGGGGAAGGCCCTGTATTGAAAGTGCCTCCCCATGTACACAAAACAAAGACATTTCCTGTGCTCTGGGTAAATTGGAATATGAAGATATGCCTCCGATAAGTCTATGGAAGACAGGAAGTGCCCTTTCTGAATGGCCGGGAGAATGGAACGAAGGGTCTCCTTCCTGAACTTCCTGTCTTTTATGTGTCGATTCAACCATTTTAGATCCAGAATCACCCTTGTGTCCCCAATTTTCTTTGGAACCAATAATTGAGTACACTCCTCTTTGCTGATGACAAGCCGGGACGCTCTCTATTGCCCCAATGTCTAGCAAATGCTGGATGGCTGCTAGCATCTGTTGATGTTTTAAGCGGTCCCTGTGTCATGCTATTTGAATGAAATGTTCTTGGGGTTTGGAAGAAAACTCCAGCTTGTAGCCATGCGTTACAGTGTCCAGGACCCACTGGTCCATTACAGTTTGGTGCCAATGCGTCACGAACAACTGCAACCTTCCCCCAATCCCCGAGAGAAACCGTGTGCCTAGATAGTCATGCTGAAGTCCCCTTCTTGGGGTTCTTATTCGAGGGATGGTCTCCCTTATTGTGGGTAAAGGGTTTGCTATTATGTGGTCTGGACTGCCACTTTACCTTGAAAGGTCTAGTGTAGGAGGATTTCTGTCCTCTTTTCTGGTCCCGAAAGGACTGAAATCTCTTTCTAGACTTACTATTCTTATTTTTGGATGGCAGTACTCTTTTCTTATCTTTGTCTTCCACCAAATATCTGTCTTGTCCCTCCCCAAAAAAGGTTAATCCCTTTAAAAGGGACTGACGCCACCTTTGCCTGTGCAGAAGAATTGACATCCCAGTGACGGAGCAAATTAGTTCTACGTGCTGTCACACTACATGCTATAGTCCTGGCGGAAAGTTGGACAGTGTCCAGGGTAGCATCTGCTGCAAAGGCAATAGCCAGCACAATTTTCTTTACTTCATCTTTCAATTCTTTTGGGACACTACTGTCTGCTGAAGCTAAATTTTCCGCCCAGTCATAAGCCACTGTGGCAAACAATGACCCTGCTGTGGATGCCCTAAGATAACCCGAAGAGGCCTCGACATTTTTTCTAAGTGTTCAATGCACCTGTCAGAGTGGTCCTTCGGCATCCCATCTGCATCCATGGGTAGCATGGAGGACAGACTGGTAATTGGATCATCCACTGTGGGTAGCTTCAGACATTTGGAATAGCTTCAGACATAAAGGAATATGTCTGTGGGTAGCTTCAGACATTTGGGTAGCTTCAGACATAAAGGAATAAAACTTAGAAAAAAGATGGCGGGAGTCTAGTGAGGGCAGCTGAAAAACCACCGTGGCAGCTGGGGACCTCCCAGCGCCGAACGTGCTCTCCTCCTCGCCACCGAAATGAAAGCACCCTCTCAGGTGCCTGCGGCGTGCTTTTCTTCCTTCCTTCTATCTTCTTTCTTTGCTGCGCTAAAGAGTGCTGCTGAAGCATGTCCTGCTCTGAAGCAGGGCCGGCAAGGACTGGGAGAGCCTCCAGGGGATAAGCCCCTTCCCACCTGAATCAAAGCTTGGAGCCGACCCTGCAATTGGAGGAGGAGCTTATCCCATCTGTACAGACTGTCCCACTAGCTGAACTACTGGAGAAGAAAACTGGTGCCACTGCATAGAGGAAGGCAATGGCAAACCACCTCTGCTCTTCTCTTGCCTAGAAAAAAACCCATGAGGAGTCTCCATACGTCAGTGTGACTTGATGATTATGTCGTCATAGGTATCTCAACAAGGCTAAATGAGCTGTTTGGCATGGCTCAAAACAAGATCACACTCCATGATCTATCCTAGGCATCAGACATTCAGGCTTTTTGAGCATACTGAATTTTCCCCAAAACAACTGGTAACACAGTAGAACTCCTTCATTCAGCCAACTACCCAATCAGACAGCCATGCTTTAGACCAGCTTCTAAAGAGTCTACAGGATGCCCTTTAGTAACAAGCCAGACACACTGAAAACATCACTTTTCCCTATCATGTGAAGTGCTTTGAAGCTGCTGGCCTGTCAATGTATATTATCCTATACTTGCTATTCATCCAAATTTGCCATGAAAGAGGCGGCTGTGAACAGAGAAACTGGAACATTTTGAGAAAAAGAATCTCCCTGGCAAGAATGAAAAGCTCGTATTTGGTTTCTAGCCAGCGGAAAGGCTGAGCTCACTGTGGTCACTTGCCAGCTATTAATATGCCTCTTTTTAACTTTGGAATTCTCTCTTTAAAAAACAGAGAAACTGAAGGACAGTACGTATCTCAATCAGGAAGTGGGAACTATTTCTTTGCTGTTAGGAACAACTACCTAAATTGGGGAGTTCACAGATACAGCTGTATATATTGTGGCTTTGTTTCCTACAGGTATTGTGTTGGGACTTTCAACACTGCTTATTTTTTTAAGAACAAAGTGAATGGAAAGAACACTCCCCACCCCCAGTGATTTAACCTTCCTGTTATAGCAAGCAATATTCCTGTCCTCTCACTGGAAGCCTTTGGGTTTTGATGTTCCAAGAGGATGCATTTTAATTTCGGGAGAGCCTCTAAATCCTGTCAGAATGGGGGTTTGTTGCTACTGCAGTTAGCTAAGCACCAAACTGATCCTGCAGCATTGTTTGGACTAGCACAGCAACTAGAATGGGGCTATCAGGGCAGTCCCCGTGGAGGCTGACGGTGCCACCACATGTTGATTCGGCTTGCCTGTCACTTCCATTTTCCACGTTACCATTTAGGATTTTGGGATTTTTAATTTAATTCCTAGTATAAATTACAGACCAATTCTATTCAGAGTTTGTATCTAACCCTATGGATTGGAAGTGGAGAAAAGCAGAGATCAATTCTATACTTTGATTGGGTTTCAGTTCCCAAAAAACGGGGAGGGTTTGCTTCATGTATATCCACAGGGAGACATTTTCAAGCCCAAAGACACAAGTAAGTCTATCTATGGCCAAGCCAAACATGTACATGCCTGCCCCAGAGTGAGTGTTCAGTTCAGACTGAACTAATAGTAAGCATTCTGATGCTCCCTGATTCCCCCCCCCCTTTCCATTCAAGACCCTTTGGATTGGATTGCAGTACCAGAGAGATAAATGGCCACCTTCCGTAAAACAATGGATTGAGGACCTTGCAGCTTTATCACTATTTGAACACTTGGCTTATAAATGACAACTGCTACTGACATGTTTACATATTTGAAAATCTTTTATAGAAACTTATGTGTAGATTTGCCATCACTGTTGTTATATTTTTGTTTCTGCTCTCATTATATGTCCCCCCTTCCCTTTTTTTTTTTTTTTGGTTACTGGTTTTTGAGTTCCCCCCCCTTCCTTGTTCATTTCCTGTGTTTTTGAAATAAAGGGTGGGGGGGAAAGACCCTTTGGATTTTATCTTCAGATTCAAAAAGTTCCCACAGCACCTCCCAAGCACCATGTTGGAGAATCACCCTTTCATGCTATCCCACAAGAGTTAACTAGTTTAATTGTATAAAACATAACCTCTCTTTCTACAGCCAATACATATTTTAAAGCTGTGTCCATCATTAGGTAGTATTCCTTCCTGTTCAACAGTACATACTAGAATTTCACAGTAGAAAAAGAAGAAGAGATTGGATTTCTACCCCGCGCTTCACTACCGAAAGGAGTCTCAGAGTGGCTTCCAAACTCCTTTCCCTTCCCCTCCCCACAAGAGACACCCTGTGTAGTAGGTGGGGCTGAGAGAGCGCTGACAGAAACTGCTCTTTTTCAAGAACAGCTGTGCCAGAACTATGGCTTGCCCAAGGTCATCCAGCAGGTGCAAGTGGAGGAGTGGGGAATCAAAACCGCTTTTTCCAGATTTAGAGTCTGCACACTTAACCACTACACCAAACTATTATTCTACAGGTTCGTTTGGGAATTGCATAGACTCTTTCTCAAAGACATTGCAGAATACAAGAATCACAAATGCACTGACCATGGTTGCTATGGTGACTGTCCCCCAATCAAAATTGCAATATTTCTCTCCATCTCGAAAGTCTCACTGAGTTTGGAATCAAATTTTATTCTCTGAATAGTTAGCTGAACTGAAAAGTTGCAGAGACATAGGATGCCGAGCAAGTCACTCTGCAAGAAAACATCTGTTCAATTATCTTTGTCGATCAGAGCTAGAGGGGTTTCCAGACTTTAAGAAAAAAGCAAAGACAACCAGGGAATTCATGAGATGGAGATTAATCTCTCTCCCTCCCCATCAGTAAACCCTTCCAGTCACAATTCAAACCAAACAAACAGCTTCAATTGTAGCATTTATACTTACTAGCCTCAACTGTAAGGGACTGAACATCCATGTCAGCTAAATATAGCACAGTGGGATTGGACTTCACAGCTTTCTAAAAAGGATGGTTGGCTGGCTACTCAAGCAAATCACAATTTATGGATACCCAGCCCAACATAAGTGCATATAGCTGAATTGTATCCTTGAACTGCAGATGACTGAAGACACCTTCAAATAACTCTGCAGTAAAGGAGCCTAATAGGAGACATACTTACCATAAGCAGTCATAGTGCCAACATATGGTCCATCCACCACATCTCTGTTCTCTTCTGCCAGTGCTTTTATATATCTTTTGCTGAGGTCCAGTATTTGTTCTCGAAGCACTGAACTACTTTCGTGCTGAGTCTTCTGTTGGATAGTAAAATGCAATAGCATCATTCCCCAAATGAACCCGAAAGTCACTAGAAAGAAGCCAAGTTTCTGAGAGGACAACTTCCATGGACTAAAGTATGCCATGGCTGTTCAACCAGCTCTTAAGTCACTCCAAATCGGTCTTACAGCCCAAAACCGAGGGCTAACTTCATTGTTCAAGTGTGTAACAGTCACAGTCCAGGAGCCACTCTGGCTCATTAGTCAGCCAATTGTCTTCATTCAGCTGGTCCATCCTGTTGCTGCAAGGAGAAAGGAAAGATATGGTTATTCAAAGTAGCAAGCATGCTTTCTTCTGGCTTCTTTCCAAAGTAGGAACAATATGCTTCTCTATACACTTGTAATGGTTATGAATCAATATTTTATCATATGAGCAGTGTTCCCTCTAAGCTGACTTGGTGTGAGCTAGCTCACAGTTTTTTTAGCCTCTGGCTCACACGTTTTTGTCTTGGCTCAGGAAGGATGGCTCCAGAGCAAACTAATTTATGCAGCAGCCAAATCGCTCACTCACAACTTTAATGCCAGTAGCTCACAAAGTAGAATTTTTGCTCACAAGACTCCACAGCTTAAGAGGGAGCACTGCATATGAGTCATTGTATAAAAGAAGAAATATCTGGGCAAAGAAACAAGAAATGTGTCTGAACAGGTACAGAATATCTTGCAAAGGGGGGGGGAACCTTGAAGCAAAGTCAACATTGCACACTGTGTAAAGCTCCCAACTGAATTCCTAGTAAAACTCTTTTCATATACCAGAGAGGGATGATGCAAAAGAGACTGATATCCTGATCGTACCAATACAGGAACACATTTGTTCTTTACCAGCTTTACAATGTAAGCCCGCACCGATGTTGCAGTTTATGCAACTGCAGTGGCATATGGCTAAAACTCTGTTTCCTGTTCCCATGGGAAGAAACAAAAAAGGGTTTTACATCACTGAAGAAGAAGAGTTGGATTTATACCCCTACCCTTCACTCAGAGTGGCTTACAATCTCCTACCCTTCCCCTCCCCACAACAAACACCCTGTGAGGTAGGTGGGGCTGAGAGAGCTCTGAGAGAACAGCTCTGAGTGAACTGTGACTGACCCAAGGTCAGCCAGCTGGGCTTTATGTGGAGGAGTGGGGAATCAAACCCAGTTCTCCAGATTAGAGTCTGCTGCTTTTAACCACGACACCAAACTGGCCTTCAGTGTACACTCTAAAAAATGCTACCAGTTATTTAGATGCCGAGAAGAATCACTTATTGATCCTGTATGGCCTCTGCCCCTTTTGAAATTGCACATAATGCAGTCATATAATCACAGATCACTGTGGTAGCTGAAAAGTAATTTTGTGATGAGATTTTTTTTTAAACTTTCATAATACCTTTTTCTGCTGTTCCAGGTTTAGCCCACTGGAGAAATAAGTGAGGCAGAGCTGGATGAGACTCCCAATATATCTCCAGATAACTTCCTAAGGAGGTAGTGGGAAAGAGCCTTGGGTTCTTACCAGCTTGAAGAGTATCTCCCCTTCTCTGTTCATCACTAGGAAAGGTAAGCATCTAAACTGACAGATCTCATTATTTCTATGTGAGTTATCCCCTTGACTGTTTCAGAATAATCTTGCACTAGGTCCATAAAAGTATTGTGTTGCTGCCATGATAGTCTGAGAGAGTATGACTATATTCTGTGTTATTTCAAAAGGGAGAAAGCACCCATTGTGGACAAATTATTTAAATAACAGTATCCTGCTTTCCCAGAGATTACGGGGGCATGCACAAGTCCACCCCCAATCCATCACACAATGAAAACAGCAACAGAAGCAACCAATTCTCAAAACAAACTAGCAAAACTGACAAAAAGACATCCATGTGGGTTGTCCTTTTCATATTTTCCCTGGTAAAGCATTATACAAGACAGAAACCACAACCAGAGAAGGTACAAGCCCTGACAAACGAATAAAAAAAAATATATTTAACTGTATGAATCTGCCGAACAGAGCTGCAGAAGCCAAAACTGGTATGTAGGCTCCTAGGGTAAGATGTTGGTCCATAGTCAAGAACCAGCATTTTGCATTAAAGCTAGAAGCCAACTTTGAAATTAACTGAATAGGAGTACTTTGGAATGAAAACACAAGACATCTAGATCACGGATTAAAAATGGAGTCAAATTTACAGGCAGTTTATCTGTAACAACAAACCTAATTAATACTCCGATCCTACAGCTTAAATCTCCCATGGCTCTGAATGCTGGGCAACTCCACCCTTACTCTCCACAATCTCTAAGCCTTTCACTGTCTGGATATTAACCTCTCTGCCAAGAACAACTGAACACATGTTCTTCCCCTAACGCTTTAGAGTTCAGTGATGCTATCATACCCCAAGGAAGTCCCCTCACCTCTGGGGCCAGTCAGCCACAGGGGCTGATTTAGGCAAGCCTCTCTTCACCCAGTAGGTATGTCAGGGTGCTTACCATTAAACCCGACATTCTCCCCTCCTAACCCACAATGACCTTCCCCCCAAAAAGGTACAACAACCCCCCCTCCCAATGGTAAAGGAGCATCCTCCTCAGCATCATGCAGGTGAAATTTCATCAAGTGTAGCTTCTGCATTGCCTCAAGGTCAACTCCACACACCATGCAAAATCACAATCCCACCTTGAAGTTACAGAAGTGAATAACTGATTCTTCTAGGCTTCTGAATAACAAGTAAAAATTTCAGGAATAGGCAAATAATGTGCAGCCCTTTTTTAGTTTCTTCCCATAAAATGGGGAAGGGAGGAATATACTATGTGTCCAAATGGATAGAGAGTCAGATATTCACATTCACTGGAGTCTACAAAATTTAATGGGGTATATGGATTTTAAAAAATAATAATTAACTCTTACAATACCTTATTAACTACATTATTCTCATAGAGACTTTACAGAACACTGTGTTCTCCTTTCCATTTACTATCAGCATAAATAATGTAGGTTCTTTCTGTATAATGTGTTAATTACGGGAATGCTCATTTACTCATTTACTGCATTCATTTGAGGTATACAAGAACTGCAGTGCAAAGCCCCTGCCTAAACCTGAAGTAATGGCTCCCACAAATTGCCTTTCCATGGATATTTTTGCTTGTCTTATTACATTATAAGGAAAACTTCAGCAACCAGACTTAATGAAGGCCATTGTTAGCACTGGTTTATATTACAGATTACTTGGAATATCACTTTTGCAACAAATAATTTAGCATTTAAAGAAACAGCCTTGTTTATGATTAATAGGTAAGAGCTTACAGTTCTTTTCCTGGACAACGTTGTGGAGATTTATCACTTCCAGCCTTTTTCACTGATATGTATTGCCAACATCCATTCAATATTAACTAATGCAAGAAGGCCCATTCAGTATAAACAGCACATATCACACTAACTTGGGGGGGGGGAAATTGAGGTTTTTGGTACGATGACAACGGTTGGCTCTGGGACTTGCTCCCATGAAGCCACCAGATCACTGGATCCTTAAGAGGAGTTTGGGGGCTCCCGAACTCCAATGAGCTCTTCAGAGAGGAGCTCATGGCAAGGGGCTTGATTCAGACTCCCCACGAGTGGCAGCAAGCGGGTGGAAGTCCAAGACCACCTCCAGCAAGATCTCAGTGAGAGCATCCACAGCATCCATGGACGTGAAGTTGTGACCAGTGTTCCCTCTAAGCTGAGTTAGTGTGAGCTAGCTCACAGTTTTGTAGCCTCTGGCTCACACATTTTTGTCTCAGCGCAGAAAGGATGGCTCCAGAGCAAACTGATTTATGCAGTAGCGAAATCACTCGCTCACAACTTTAATGCCAGTAGCTCACAAAGTTGAATTTTTGCTCACAAACCCCCACAGCTTAGAAGGAACATTGGTTGTGACTCTTAGAGCGAGGAGGAAACAGGACATCTCAGCAAAAAAAAAACAAAAAACCATAGATAAACCACTGTGAGTAACCTTAACTGCAACATTACTAGGAACTTTTCTACTGATTAAGCCCTTTAAATCATTTGTAAGGGGGAAAGAAGGGAAGGAGTGAGGAATCCTCTCCCCCCCCCACTTCTCTAAAGCGACTATGAAAAGAAGAGAAAGGAACTTTCTTAATAAATTTATTGAGCTAAAGAAAAGAAGGCTGATGTTTGAAGAAAATTGTGAAACAGATTTATAAATGTGATATCATTATACTTTGGATTACAAAATCGTGGATTATAAATATTTGGAATACTATAATAAGCATCAGACTTTATACTATTGAAATAGAAACCTATCTTCCCTGGAATTATAACTGAGCCATAAGGAGTCACAGAAAGACATTTAATTTGGATTATAAATATCTACATCTTATTACCCGGACCATAAACTAAAATCAAGAAGGAAGAATTACTGTAACGCTCTTTACATGGGGCTGCCTTTGTCGCGAATTCGGAGGCTGCAGCTAGTGCAGAATGCTGCAGCCAGGCTGTTGATGGGTCTCTCGAGGAGGGACCACATTCAGCCTGTGCTGAAAGCGCTGCACTGGCTGCCGATAGCATACCGGATTCGCTTCAAAGTGCTGGTTTTGACCTTTAAAGCCCTAAATGGCCAGGGTCCAGCCTACCTGAGGGACCGCCTTTCTCCATATGTTCCCCCAAGGGCACTTCGGTCGGGAGGGAGGCATCTCCTGGAAATTCCAGGCCCGAGAGAAGTTAAATTTGCTGTCACTAGGGCTGGGGCATTTTCGGTGGCGGCTCCTACCTGGTGGAAGGAGCTCCCGGAGGAGATCCGGGCCCTGCGGGACCTCTCTCAGTTCCGCAGGGCCTGCAAGACGGAGCTCTTCCGCCAGGCCTTTGGATAGGAGCCTCCGCCATTGTTTTAGCCCCAGCGAACTAACATCGAATTAACATCGAATCAACATCGGATTGCCTGGCCCCTAAGGGTGGAACGTAGTACTAAACACGACTCTAGGATGAGATCAAGGGTAGCTATGTGAAATAAGATCTCTCTTCTCTGGTCTGAAACTAGTTGTTATTTTGTTGTATACTGCTTGTTTTATTGTAATTTATTGTTTTAATTCATATTGTATTGTTTTAACCTGGCACTTTGTGCCCTGTAAGCCGCCCTGAGCCTACGGGGTAGGGCGGGGTATAAATCTAAATATAAA